CCACTCTGGGAGAAGAGGGGTGCAGCCCCGCTTCACTCTGGAGAGGAAACTGAGGCTCAGATAGGAGATAGCCAAGGTCACACCACCTCTAGAAGTGGTGGGGCTGGGTCTCGCACCTCGTTTTACTGGTTCTGGGATGAGGAGCCTCTATTCCGGCGTCCTGCGCTTTGTCCTTTGCTAGCCTCAAGGTACAGCAGTCTGTGCTGCCACAGCAGCCTCTGGCTCACCGCCCATCCTTTCCTGCCTGAGGTCTAGAGCCTACCACAAGGCCTGACACACAGCAGGCGCTCCCCTTTCTCTGCCCTAGAGCATCTTGTCTTAAGATCCTATGACAGCATCTTTTGCCCTGGACTGTCATGACCTGCCTTCCAGGAAGACTAATGATCCCAGGAAGATGGTCACACCTTGCTCCCAATACAGAGCACCTAACTCTGGGCTTGGTTTCAGGCGTGTAACACCCAGTGAAGTTACGTGGCCTGCGCCTACACCCAAATGCCCCAACTAGCTAACTGACTTTTGGGCCTTGGCATCTCTTGAGCTTTGGTTGCCCAATCTGTAAAATTATGATAAAAGTGGAGCTTCTCAGAGGAAGATCTAATGAACCCTTAGAGCAGGGGAAGAATTCAGGAAATATCTGCCTACAACCACTTCCTCGAACAACCTGCTTTCAAGTTGCTGTTCCCGAGGCGTGTCTTAAAACATTAACTTTTGTGGGAGCCCCATGAAGGGTCTTTGTTTTGTTTTGTTTTTATCCCGAAGAAGGCACCCAGCTTCTTCCTAGGCCTGGGATACCATAACTCGTTCAGAAAGGGAGGTCCTCCTGGCCAGGCGCAGTGGCTCATGCCTGTAATACAGCACTTTGGGAGGCAGAAGCAGGAGATTACTTGAGCTCAGGGGTTCAAGACCAGCCTGGCCAAAATGGCAAAACCCCATCTCTTTAAATACAAAAATTAGCCAGGTATGGTGGCAGGTGCCTGTAATCCCAGCTTCTCAGGAGGCTGAGGCAGAAGAATCAATTGAACCCAGGAGGAGGAGGTTATAGTGAGCTGGTATCACGCCACTGCACTCTAGCCTGGGTGACAGAGCAAGATTCTGTCTCGAAAAGAAAAAGGAGATTCTCCAGAAAGGGAGGTTCTCCAGTGCCCTGAGGGGGTTCAGGCCCACAGACTCAACAGAGGCAGCAGCAAGGCTGTGATAACTTGGAGTTACCACAGTAAGGTCCTCTTGGAGAGCTGGCAGAAGTTGATGCCAGGCTGGGCATGGAGGGTGGGCCAACATTGCTCGCAGCAAGACCTGCCCACCAGCAGCCTGCTGCAGACAACATCTCAGGTCAGCACAGGAAGAAGTGACAGCAGAGGAACCAGAAGAAACAGATCGGGGAAAAAAAATTTAAAAATAAAAAATAGGCCGGGCGCGGTGGCTCAAGCTTGTAATCCCAGCACTTTGGGAGGCTGAGGCGGGTGGATCACGAGGTCAAGAGATCGAGACCATCCTGGTCAACATGGTGAAACCACATCTCTACTAAAAATACAAAAAATGAGCTGGGCATGGTGGCACGTGCCTGTAATCCCAGCTACTCAGGAGGCTGAGGCAGGAGAATTGCCTGAACCCAGGAGGCGGAGGTTGCGGTGAGCCGAGATCACGCCATTGCACTCCAGCCTGGGTAACAAGAGCGAAACTCCGTCTCAAAATAAATAAATAAATAAATAAATAAAAACAAGAAACAGATTGGGGAAAAAAAGCCAACAACCCTCAAAAGGGGGATTCTGTTAAACCTCCAGGACCAACCATGCCACAGGATTCTCAAGTCTGCATCACCCCTCACCCCAGTGCAAAAGCTCTGGATCCTTCCCAAGAAAACCTCCACATACAGTTGGCAAACTGCCCTGAAGTTTGATGGGGCCCTCAAAAAGCAACAGTGGTATAACTACTATGGAAAAGAGTTTGGAGGTTCCTCAGAAAACTAAAAATACAGCTACCATATGATCCAGCAATCCCCCTACTGGGTATGTACCCAAAGGAGAGGAAATCAGTATATCAAAAAGATATCTGCACTTCCCTGTTTGCTGCATCACCATTCACAATATCCAAGATTTGGAAGCAACCTAAGTGTCTATCAACAGATTAATGGATAAGGAAAATATGGTACATATGCGCAATGAAAAAGATTGAGATCAGCCAGGTGGAGTGGCTCATGCCTGTAATCACAGCACTTTGGGAGTCTGAGGCAGGAGGATCCGGAGGCCAAGAGATTGAGACCATCCTAGCCAACATGGTGAAACCCCATCTCTATTAAAAATACAAAAATTAGCTGGACATAGTGGCAGACGCCTGTAGTCCCAGCTACTCAGGAGGCTGAGGCAGGAGAATCGCTTGAACCCAGGAGGCAGAGAATGCAGTGAAAGAAAAAAAGGAGGAGATCCTGCCATTTGTAACAACATGAAAGGAACTGGAGGTCGTTACATTAAGTGAAATAAGCCAGTCACAGAAAAACAAACATCGTATACTCTCACTTCCTTATGGGATCTAAAAATCAAAATAATTGAACTTGGCCAAGTGTAGTGGGTGGCTCCTACCTAAAATCCCAGCACCTTGGGCGGCCAAGGCTGGGGGAGTACTTGACCCTAGGAGTTTGAGACTGCCTGCAACATAGCAAGACTTCGTCACTAGAAAATTTTTAAAAGTCAGGCAGGCATGGTGGTGCACACCTGTAGTCCCAGCTACTCAGGAGACTAAGGTGGGAAGATGGCTTTAGCCTGGGAGGTATCCACAGAAAAAGTGGGGGGGGGGGGGGGGTGCAGGCGCAGTGACTCACGCCTATAATCCCAGCCCTTTGGGAAGCCGAGGCAGGATGATCACCTGAGGTCAGGCATTCAAGACCAGCCTAGCCAACCACGGCAACACCCCATCTCTACTAAAAATAAAAATTAAATTAACCAGGTGTGGTGGCATGCACCTGTGGTGCCAGCTACTCGGGGAAGCTGAGGCACGAGAATTGCTTCAATACAGAAGGCGGAGGTTGCAGTGAGCCAAGATCACACCACTGCACTCCATCCGGGGTGAGAGAGTGAGACTCTGTTTCCAAAAAAAAAAAAAAACAAGGAAAAGGATTTAAACAAAACAATAATTGAATTCATAGAGATAGAGAGTAGAAGGATGGTTGCCAGAGTCTGGGAAAGGGTGGGGAGGTGGGAGGGTTAATAGGTACCAAAAAAAAAAAAAGAAAAAGAAAAATGAATAAGACCTACTATTTGATAGCACAACAGTGACTATACTCAATGATCATACATTTAAAAATAACTAAAAGTATAAATTGGATTATTTGTAACACAAAGTATAAATGCTTCAGGGTACAGATACCCCATTTTCCATGAAGTGATTATTAAGCATTACATGCCTTATCAAAACATCTCATGTACCTCCAAATTTATACACCTGTATACCCACAAACATTTAAAATTTAAAAAGAACATCTCAACAACAACAAAAAGCAACAGTGATCCAGGCACAGTGGCTCACACCTGTAATCCCAGAACTTTGGGAGGCTGAAGGGGGAGGAACACTTGGACCCAGGAGTTCAAGACCAGCCTGGGCAACATAGAAAGACCCCATCTCTACAAAAAATTTAAAAATTAGCCAGGTATGGTGGTGCATGCCTGTAGTCTCACCTACTTGGGATTCTGAGGTAAAAGGATCAATTGAGCCTGGGAGTTCAAGGCTACAGTGAGCCATGATTATAGCATTGCACTCCAGCCTGGGCAACAAAGCCAGACCCCATCTCTTTCTCTTTCTCTCTCTCTCTCTCTCTCTCTCTCTCATACATACACGCATGCAGGCACACACGCATGCACGCATGCAACATTGTTCTCTCTCTCTTTTCTGGATAGAAAAAGGAAGCAGGTGACCTTGAAGAAACATGCTGATTGGAGGCCCCTCAGTCAGTGACAAGGATGATCGCCTGTTATCTCTATAGAGCATCAGTCACACTGTCAGTCCGAGCATCATACAATGCCTTCTTAAAAGAAAAATAGGCCAGGCGCGGAGGCTCAAGGCCTGTAATCCCAGTACTTTGGGAGGCCGAGGAGGGTGGATCACGAGATCAAGAGATCGAGACCATCCTGGTCAACATGGTGAAACCCCATCTCTACTAAAAATACAAAAAATTGCCGGGCGCGGTGGCTCAAGCCTGTAATCCCAGCACTTTGGGAGGCCGAGGCGGGTGGATCACGAGGTCGAGAGATCGAGACCATCCTGGTCAACATGGTGAAACCCCGTCTCTACTAAAAGTGCAAAAAATTAGCTGGGCATGGTGGCACGTGCCTGTAATCCCAGCTACTCAGGAGGCTGAGGCAGGAGAATTGCCTGAGCCCAGGAGGCGGAGGTTGCGGTGAGCCGAGATCGTGCCATTGCACTCCAGCCTGGATAACAAGAGCAAAACTCCGTCTCAAAAAAAAAGAAAAAGAAAGCCAGGTGCAGTGCCTACAGTTCCAGCTATTCGGGAGGCTGAGATGAGAGGCTCTCTTGGGGCCAGGAGTTCAAGGCTATAGTGTGCTGTGGTAACACCTGTGAATAGCCTCTGCACTCCAACCTGGGCATCATAGTGAGACTCTGTCCAAAAAAATAAATAAATAAATAAATAAATAAGAAGAAGGAAAACCTTATTGCTCCCTAGAGTCTGCTCACAAGGCAGGGAGTTCTCCAAGTGAGAACAAGGTGGCACAGATTTCAGAGCTTCTCCCACATGTTAGCTACAAGGCTAGAACTTTTCTGTTTGTAATTTTGTTTATTATGAATCAACTTGAAAGCACAGCCCCTGAGGGTGTGAAAAAGAAATTCCACACATAGTAAAGCAGCTACTTGGCCTCAAAGCCAGCGCCGGGCTCCCGTGCGTGTGTTAAACAGGTAGTCTCTTCCTGTACCTAAAACCAGTAGAAGAGAGAGGAGAGTGAGGGGGTGCTGGTGGCCCCGGGAGAACTTCCTCCCTCCCCTCTTACCTAAGGGTAAGGGATTATTCCTCAAGAACCCTCAGTGTGACACCCCACCTTCTGCTGGAATCTAACTTGTCCCCTCCCTCCCTTCTTAGCAAATTCTCTTAACTCTGACTCAAATGCGCAGGAAGCCTCCTTGATTCTCCAACACTGGACACCAACTTCCCTAAGGCCAATGCCAGATTACTCTCCCATAATTCACTGGTGACACTGGACTCTCTGGGGGCCTCTCCCCTCACCATCATCCCTCCTTCCGTTGTGGGCAGAGACCAGACCACGTATGAGTCATCTCTGGGCTCCCCAGGTATTTGACAAAGAATGGATGAAGGGTGAGTGGCAATGAGAGCAGACCCCATTCAGAAAAAAATTAGATGGTGGATTCCTGGGAATAGGAGGAGATATTGAAATGGGGTAAATAGAGGAGGAGATACTCAAATGGGGTGAGGGCCCAGACAGAGAATAGTTTAGGAAGACGGGGACTCACGGGAGTCCTGTGCTCTGCCATCAAAATGCTGCTGAGGGAAAAGATGAAAGGTGCAATGAATTGAACCCTGCCCACAGGGGAGCAGACAAAGGCCTGCCCCTGGGGGACCAGAAGCCCACCTGCCTCCTCCATCCTCATGGTGCTAGTATGGGCACTTCCACAGGATAGCCATTCACAGGGAAAGAAACAGGCTTGGAGGGGGCTGGGGAGTACTCTGGAGCAGGCTCTGTGCCCACTACTTGAGATGGTGAGCTGACATACCAGGCTCTTGACGCTGCTGGGTACCTGGGACATCTCCATCTTCGGTACCTCCATGAAACCCTTGAGGGATCCCTCAGTTTCCTGGATGCTGGGGCATAGTAGGAGCAGCAGTACAGGACAAGGCTGTGAGCCTCAAACTGAATTTAACAGATGGGCTCCCAGGCATAGAGAATTATGCAAAGGAGACTGACCTGTTTAGCAGCAGCGCCTGGGCTGGTTTGCTGGGTGCTTGCAGCAGCTGGGCCAACCTAAAATGCCAGGAGGAACCAGCACCATTCCCCTATGTCCATCCTTCCTTCCTTCCTTCCTTCCTTCCTTCCTTCCTTCCTTCCTCAGTCTCACTCTGTCACCAAGCTGGAGTACAGTGGCACGATCTCGGCTCACTGCAACCTACGCCTCCCAGGCTCAATCAGTTTTGCCTCAGCCTCCTGAGTAGCTGGGACTACAGGAGCGCACCACCACAGCCAACTAATTTTTTTATTTTAAGTAGAGATGGAGTTTCACCAACTTGGCCAGGGTGGTCTCGATCTCTTGACCTTGTGATCTGCCTGCCTCAGCCTCCCAAAGTGCTAGGATTACAGGCATGAGCCACTGCGCCTGGCTCACCCGTCCCTTTATATTGGGAACAACCAATGTCTGTATGCAGTGCCCACATTGTTCCATCCCCTTTCCCTGGGCGCAGTCCTATGTCCACAAGGAACTCAAGAGTCTACAGGGTGCCGGGCTCGGTGGCTCAAGCCTGTAATCCCAGCACTTTGGGAGGCCGAGGCGAGTGGATCACGAGGTCAAGAGATCGAGACCATCCCGGCCAACATGGTAAAACCCCGTCTCTACTAAAAATACAAAAAAATTAGCTGGGCATGGTGGTGTGTGCCTGTAATCCCAGCTACTCCGGAGGCTGAGGCAGGAGAATTGCCTGAACCCAGGAGGCGGAGGTTGCGGTGAGCTGAGATCACACCATTGCACTCCAGCCTGGGTAACAAGAGCGAAACTCCATCTTAAAAAAAAAAAAAAGCCTACAGAGTGAGCAGGAAAGGTTTCCAGTGGAGGGCAGAAATCAGGAATAGGGGTAAATGCCCAATGCATGACACACTCACAGTTTCTTTTTTTTTTTTTTTATAGAAAGATGGGGTTTCACCATGATGGCCAGGCTGGTCTTGAACTCCTGACCTCAAGTGATCCACTCACCTCAGCCTCCCAAAGTGCTAGGATTACAGGCGTGAGCCACGGTGCCTGGCCCACACTCACAGTTTCAAGCCCTGAGCTTATCTACACTCCTCCCATTCCAAGACCGGATTCTGCCAGTGATGGAAGTTGCCTCCTCCCAGTGTCTCTTTGACCTTAAACTAAAGACCTCTGGAGGGAGATCAGCCCTCCTCAATGTCAGCTTGTCACTTACCCACTTGGGCATTATCATCTAATCTTAGGTGAAACCGCCCATCACAACTAAGGTCCATAGATGGGTTGGGGGCAGGTAGGGAGCACAAGGATAGAATCCCTACCCCTGGAGGAGCCTGCCAAGAAGCCAACCCAGAGCCAAGAGGAGAAGAGCACCAGTTGCTGTCAACACCACCACAAACCAGGGCTGTGGCTGCCAGAAAGCCTCTGTGTCTGTCACGAGCATGGGTGTCATCATTGAGGGCACCTGAAAAGGAGGCCACAGCCTTGCCACTGCCTTGCCAAAATGCCCTACCATCCAGCCTTCCGAACCCTCCCTGGGTTACACCACCCCACACTCGTGATTTGCTCTCCAGCACTGCTGGGCTCTCTGCACTCAGCACTTCCCTCTGAACTGACTTCCCTGTACTTCCACCTGAAAAACTGGATCTCCTCACCCTCCAAGGTCCACCCTTCCTGCCCCCATGAGGGCCCAAGGAGCCTCCTCACTGTGGTTCTGTGGATGCTGGTGGCCTCTGTGCTGGACTTCCAGGGAACTAGATGCACAACAATGGTGGCTGTAGTGCTGAGGTGGGGGGCTGAGGGGCCTGCATCAGCCACACAGATCAATAGCTCATAGGTATTGGGCTGCTCTGGCCAGAAGGGCCCCAACACAAGGTCACTGTGCACCAGGATGGCCCCTTGCAGGATGAATCGGTTCTGGCTATTCCCTGAAAGCAGAGTGGCAGGAGGAGGAGACCATTGCTGGTCTTGGCCTGCCCCTCACCCACAACCTGGTGGTGCCCATGTCCCCTACCTCCCACGATGCTGTAGGAGAAGGCCAGGCGCTGTGGCTCCTGAGGGATCCGGCATGACACCTTGGTCACCTCCACACTTCGGCCCAGAGGAACATAGATGGTGAGTTCCTGAAATGGAGGCTCACACTCGGGGGCATGGTCATTCACATCCTGCAGAAAGGAGCCAGGTTAGGAGTGGGTGCAACCACCCTCCAAACCTCCAAGCCAACCCCTCAACTTCTCACGACAGCCAGAGCATACGTATCAAGGCATCACACAACAGAATCCAGAGCTTTCCACAATTAGGCCCCACTTTTCTCCAGCCAATTCATGGAAGAAACTGAGGCACAGAGTGGAAAAGCAGAACACCACAGGGTGATCTACTCCTGTCTTTCAAAGTATTTATTTCCAAAGCCTTAGGACACAATTACCTCAACCTCAATGGTAATGGTACAGGAGCCTGAGCGGTGACAGTTGGGATTCTGGTCTTGTCCATGGTCAATCAGCAGGACAGTGAGCCTGTAGACCCTCTGCCGTTCATAGTCCAAAGGTCCCAGGAGGTGAACTTCCCCTAGAGAGGGGACCACAGCCTCAGGCTGCAGAGCCAACTCTGGCTCCCCACTTCCGTCCCAGCCTTAGGGTGGGAGTACCACTGAGACGGTCCACAGCAAAGGTGGGAGGGCCACCAGAGGTGTAGTACTCAATGTTGTCCTGAGGGTAATCCATATCTGTGCCCATCACAGAGCCCAGCAGAGTGTGTGGCGTTGCGTCCTCCCGAACCCGGAACATTCGAGGGGCACAGGCTGGGGAGAACTCGTTGACAGGTGTCACCATCACCAGTACCGGCACCTCCGCTGGAGGTCATTTGGCAGTCAAGGAGCTGGCCTGGGGTGCCTATCCCTGACCTGGGGGTCTGAGGAGGGAGACATGGCCCTGTCCTGGGGGTCTAAAGAGCGAGAGAGTCTAAAGGGAGGGCAGAAGCCTTCCTCTGCTAGGGGTCTAAGAGATATATCCTCAGGGTCTGAAATGGAGACACCCCTGCCATACTGGATTCCGAAGGAGGAGAGATGACCCTGTCCTGAGCATGGGAAGCAGGAGGACAGAACAGTCTTGTCCTGGGTGTCCAGGCTGGGTGTGGTCACTCACTGGTCATCTGGGGCTGGCCACCATCAAGCACCAGGATAGAGGCTGCATGCTGGAAGCAGGATCCAGGAGTGTCACAGTCCAGTGTGGCATTCACCTAGCCAGAGGGGCTAGAAAGTAAGGTCCAGCCAAGGGCCTGGGAGAGCCCTGAGTTCCATGGGGCTGCCACAGGCCAGGGCATCCACAAATAGCCTGCCTGGATCCTGTTTTCCCACTGCAACACATACTGACTCAACAGCTGTCCCTACAACCCTCACTCTTGTGGTCTCAGCTCTCACAGACCCTTGGCCCACCCACCCCTTCCCGTTGCAAGCGCCCTGCAAGTTGGTGTGGGAGCTGGGGCTGAGCACCTCAAGGACTCTGTCGTAAAGCCAGAGGCTGGCAGGGTCAGAAGAACTGCGAAACCACAGCTTGTAGTCCAGGGTGGCACCAACAGAGTCTGGATCTTCACAAGTGAGAGTAGTCAGCACAGTGCCCACAGGTGCAGTCTCGGGGATTTGGGTCCTGAGCGTGCCATGGCAGCAAGGTGGGAATCTGGCAGTGCCCTGAGTCATGGCTCTGGCCCCAGCAACCCTGGTAAGGTTCCCAGATACTCACACCAGAAGCGCTGGAAGACAGCGTGGGGGCCAGACGTTGACCAGACGCACGTTCAGGGTGAGATTGAGCTCGGCACTGTCCCATGGCCGGTGCTGCTCAAAGGCCTTCACCTGCAGCCTGGAGACTGCAGTTCCTAGGGTACGAGCTAACTCCAGGGGGGCAGTGGTCCGGACCACACCGTCCGCTGCATGAGGCGGGAGGGCCAGGGAACATAGAGATCAGCCCCGCTTCCAGCTTAGTCCCACTTCCATCAGCCCACCAGACCCACAGGCGAAAGAGGCTGCTGAGCCTGGCCCTCCTGCTGCCTTCTCCAAGGCCAGACCCCCAACAGGAAGGTGAAGAGGCAGTATGAGTCACCTCTGGACCAGCCACAGAGGCATCCTGGTACCCGCCCCTCCCTCAACACCTCTCACCACGACCAATGGAGAAGAACGGGCTGGGCACTGGAGACAGGATTTCATAGCGCAGGTTGACACCCCGGGCCCAGACCTGAACCACCTCACTACCAGGGGCCAGGTTCTCAGGGATGGTGATATTGTGAGCCTGTTTGCTGGACCAAAAGAGGGACACTGGTTCCTGCCCATTCCTGCTCACCCTGTGGGTCCACAGCTTCTTTCCCTGGGCCCCCCTCCTGCCAGAGCTAGGACTCAGCTCCGGCAGCCTCAGCCTAACTGATTCCCTGGGGCTAGGCCCTTCCCCCCTCACTGTTCTAGGGTAGGGGAGGCTTACAGGAAGGAGACCTGGCTGGAGGAAACAGGCAAAACCTTCACCATCACCATCCCTTGGCAGCTCTGCCTTTGTCTGAAGGACACTGAGATCTGTAGCTGGAAGACCTGTGGTGCACCCAGAGCAGAAAGGAGCCAGAGTGTGTCTGTCCATCTCTTTGTCTATGCCCAATCCTCCCCTTAAATAGGCAACCTCACTTAGGATCTCCAAAAGGAACCTCAACTTTCACTTTTCCCCATGATCCCCATGACCTGTCACTCTGCTGACAAGTATTCCTTTGAGCCCTATACTTTTGGGCCATAAGTTATTCCATTAGGATGCAAACAGTCCAAGAGTAATATCTGAATCATTCACAATGTGAATTATCATTTAGAGTTGCTAAAAGCCAGTCACTGAGAGATGGAATTTTTTTTTTTTTTTTTTTTTTGAGACAGAGTTTCGCTCTTGCTACCCAGGCTGGAGTGCAATGGCACGATCTCGGCTCACCGCAACCTCTGCCTCCTGGGTTCAGGCAATTCTCCTGCCTCAGCCTCCTGAGTAGCTGGGATTACAGGCACGCACCACCATGCCCAGCTATTTTTTTTGTATTTTTAGTAGAGACGGGGTTTCACCATGTTGACCAGGATGGTCTCGATCTCTTGACCTTGTGATCCACCCGCCTCGGCCTCCCAAAGTGCTGGGATTACAGGCTTGAGCCACCGCGCCAGGCCGGAGAGATGGAATTTTTAAAGAGGGAACTTCTCTAATCTCTTCCACTTTACCCAGAACTTTTTTTTTTTTTTTTTGTCCAGGCTGGAGTGCAGTGGCACAATCTTGGCTCACCGCAACCTCTGCCTCCTGGATTCAAGCAGTTCTCCTGCCTCAGCCTCCTGAGTAGCTGGGATTACAGGCATGTGCCACCACACTCGGCTAATTTTTGTATTTTTAGTAGAGATGGGGTTTTGCCATGTTGGCCAAGCTGGTCTTGAACTCCTGACCTCAGGTTATAACGCCCACCTCAGCCTCCCTAAGAGCTAGGATTACAGGCGTGAGCCACCACGCCCAGCCATTACCCAGGACTTTCTCCGACTGTGTGATTGTCCTAAACACTTTTCATTCTATTAGAGGGCCTGTGAACTCCCAGAGAGAAGGATTCCTCTTCTTTCTAGAACTCCAAAGCCCAGCACAAAACCAGGCTAAGGTGGGAGGACAGCCAGCATGGAGCAGCAGGTCCAGGTCTGAGAGAGTCAGTATTAGTTGAGGAGGCCAAGGAGGCCAAGAATACACAAATTTCTTTGGAAGGGGAAAAAGAAAAAAAAAGAATACACAAATTTCTAAAAGGTAGGAGCTCTACCCAATCCATGGACACCCCTGGATTCCAGGTCATGCTCACCTTTTGAGCCTGGCCTAGGAGGCCCTGGGATGGTGCCTGCAGCCAGCCTTGCTCATTGATGGAGAAAGGTCCAGGGAAGTATGGAGGGTCCTGGGCACTGATAATGCTCATCTGACAAAACAGAGATGCTGGCCACCCCATTCAGCCCCCAGTGCCCTGAGCACCCCCATCAACATTCTCCAGCAACTCAGCAGGCACCTGCCTACACCCAATTTTCTTTCTTTCTTTCTTTCTTTCTTTTTTTTTTTTTTTTGAGACAGAGTCTTGCTCTGTTGCCCAGGCTGGAGTGCAGTGGAGCTATCTCGGCTCACTGCAACCTCTGCCTCCTGGGTTCAGGCAATTCTCCTGCCTCAGCCTCCTGTTGAGCTGGGATTACAGGCACGTGCCACCATGCCCAGCTAATTTTTTGTATTTTTAGTAGAGATGGGGTTTCACCATGTTGACCAGGATGGTCTTGATCTCTTGACCTCATGATCCACCCTCCTCGGCCTCCCAAAGTGCTGGGATTATAGGCTTGAGCCACCGCGCCCGGCCAATTTTTGTATTTTCAGTAGAGACATGGTGAAACCCTGTCTTTTTTTTTTTTTTTTTGAGACAGATTCTTGTTGTGTCACACAGGCTGTGGCACGATCTTGGCTCACTGCAACCTCTGCCTCCCGGGTTCAAGCAATTCTCTTGCCTCAGCCTCCTGAGTAGTTGGGATTACAGGCATGTGCCACCATGCCTGGCTTTTTTTTTTTTTTTTTTTTTTTTTTGAGACGGAGTTTTGCTCTTGTTACCCAGGCTGGAGTGCAATGGCGCAATCTTGGCTCACCGCAACCTCTGCCTCCTGGGTTCAGGCAATTCTCCTGCCTCAGCCTCCTAAGTAGCTGGGATTACAGGCACACGCCACCATGCCCAGCTAATTTTTTGTATTTTTTTAGTAGAGGCGGGGTTTCATCATGTTGACCAGGATGGTCTCGATCTCTTGACCTCGTGATCTACCCGCCTCGGCCTCCCAAAGTGCTGGGATTACAGGCTTGAGCCACCGCGCCCGGCCATGCCTGGCTTTGTGTGTGTGTGTGTGTGTGTGTGTGTGTGTGTGTGTGTGTTTGTATTTTTAGTAGAGACAGAGCCTCACTACAATGGCCAGCCTGGTTTCAAACTCCTGAGGCTGCCTGCCTCAGCCACCCAAACTGCTGGGATTACAGGTGTGAGTCACTGTGCCTCGCCATTACCTGCCTTTTTTTTTTTTTTTTTTTTTAATTACAGCAGTAATACAGAATTGTCATAGAGAACTGAGAACACATAGCAGATCTTGAAAGAAGAAACTCAGCCCCTGAGATGTCCCTATGGGAACAGCCATGGTCACTGGGGGTGAGCAGCCCTCAGCAGTGCTCTCCAAGAACATGCATCATGTAGAGGCTCATCGATGCCTTTGCTGCAAGGTTCCTCTGCAGGCTGTGCTTGGCCAGGCAGGATTAATTTACTCTCTCCATCCCCCCTGCCCCCATCCTGTCACCCACCATCCCATGTTCTGGGCTCACCTGGGCTCCGTGGAGTTCTAGGCCTGGGAGGAGCAGAATGTACAGCCGCGCCCCTGGTCTGACTGTCTCTGGAACCTGAATCATTTCCCCAGCTGGCCAGAGGGGAAGTCAGGGAGGAATCTGTTTGGGCCATGTCTGCCCACCTCCTACTGACTGCCCCTGGTCTCACCTGGACTGGCAAATTGACCAGCACACTGGATATGGCTAAGGTCCCGTTGCACATCCACAAACAGTGGTCCCTCCGTCACATAGTTGCCACATGTAAACTTCAGCCACAGCTTGTAGTGGTTTACCATCAGGGCATCCAGTCGAGCAGAGCTGCTCAAGGTCAACTGCGGTGGGTGGGCAGTGCCCATGTGGGGCTTGGAAATTTTAGGTCTGCCCTTGTGCCCCCACAGTCCCCAGTTGTACACATGACCTTACCTTGCCCACATAGGTCCCTTGCCACCTGGCCAAGCTGGGTGGGTTGAAGAAGGTGGTGGGTGGCTGGACATTGAGCAACTCCAGGGTGGGTGTGGGTGTGTAGGAGGAGCAATTGAAGGAGAAAAACTGAAGGACTGTGCCAGGGCCCTGGCTCTCAGAGACATTTATAAACCAGGACAGGCTGTGGAGGTCTGTGAAAAGCAGAGAATTCAGGCTGGAGGCTCCCCAGGCTGACAGAACCACACATACTAGCATAGTTCTGTCTTTTTGCCACAGAGCCTGGCCACATCTTGGGGCCAAGCAGCTAAGGTCTTTCCTTGTACCCAGCATCCAACATTTCACAGATGGGGAGTGAGAACTTGCTTGAGGAAGCAGCCAAGATACGTGATGAGGGCCAGGGGTTCAGATTCTTACACTTTCCTACCTCTCCCCCAACCCCTGTCCTCTATGGTAGCTTATTTAGGAAGGCAGGACACCAAGGGAAAACTCCCCCACCCACCACCTCCTTACCAGAGACCACCAGAGCAAAGAGGAGCACGAGGAGCCTGAGCAGCACCATGATGACCTGAAGACAGAGACAGCAGAGGAGGCTTCAGAAAGCTAGGCTGTTTGTCTGACCCACCCTGTTGCCAGGTCAGTTGCTCAAACATAGCAGGCGGGATTCCTGGACCTCCCAGATTCTAGCCCCACCCATCCCTGGTGACTGAGTTCTAGACACACTTCAGGTGCCAGAGACAGTCAGACCAGGGTCTCAGCTGTACATTCTGCTCCTCCCAGGCCTAGAACTCCACGGAGCCCAGGTGAGCCCAGAACATGGGATGGTGGGTGACAGGAAGGGGGCAGGGGGGATGGAGAAAGTAAATTAATCTAGACCCCTGGCAAGCTTCCTGAGGCTCAGAATATCCCATTTTCCATTGCCCCTTCATTACTACAACTCCAAGGGCATGGAAGGGGAGAAGGATTGAGGTTCAGATGAGGAAACTGGTCAATCCAATCCTTGGAGATAGAGCAAGTACAGCACCCAGGATAATTGGGCCCAGGACCTGCTAACCCACAGAGTCTCAACTCCATCTGGACCCCCTCCATTAGAACATTATCTGCCTAGTAAAATACAAGCCCAACCATCAACAAAATATCTCAAAATTTGCTGGGTGTGGTGGCTTATATCTGTAATCCCAGCACTTTGGGAGGCTGAGGTGGGAAGATCACTTAAGCTCAGGGGTTCAATATCAGCCTGGGCAACAAAGTGAAACCCCTATCTCTACAAAAAATTAGTTGAATATGGTGGTGCAGGCCTATAGTCCCAGCTATTCAGGAGGCTGAGGTAGGAGGATTGCTTGAACTCTAAGAGATCGAGGCTACAGTGAGCCATGACTGTACCACTGTACTACTCCAACTTGAGTGGCAGAGCAAGACCCTGTCTCAAAAAAAAAAAAAAAAAAAAAAAAAAAAGTTATCTACATCCAACAAACAAAAGGAATCCTTTATGACAGAAACACAAGTACTGTTTACCTTTGAGAATATCAACTTGGACAAGGGCACCAGGTGGCTTCCAGGAGTTGCTGAGGTTGTTCTATGTCTTTATCTGGGTGGCAGTTGCACAAGTGTCTACAGATACATTTATAGAACTGTAACTTTCAAATTTGTTCATCTATCTTGTTTATGTCTTTTTTTTTTTTTTTTTTTTTTTTTTTTTTTTGAGGTGGACTCTCACTCTGTCTCCCAGGCTGGAATGCAGTGGCACAATCTCAGCTCACTGCAATCTCTGCCTCCTGGGTTCAAGCAATTCTCTGCCTCAGCCTTTCAAGTAGCTGGGATTACAGATGCCCACCACCACACCCAGCTAATTTTTTTTTTTTTTGTATTTTTAGTAGAGATGGGGTTTTATCATCTTGGCCAGGCTGGTTTTGAACTCTTGACTTCGTGATCCATCCGCCTCGGCCTCCCAAAATGCTGGTATTACAGTCATGAGCCACGATGCCTAGCCATATGTCAGGTTTTTTTTGTTGTTGTTTGCTTTTTATTTTTTTGAGATGGAATCTCGCTCTGTCACCCAAGCTGGAGTGAAGTGGCATGATCTCGGCTTACTGCAGTCTCCACCTCCTGGGTTCAAGTGATTCTCCTGCCTCTGCTTCCCGAGTAGCTGAGATTACAGGTGCCTGCCACTGCGCCCAGCTAATTTTTGTATTTTTAGTAGAGTCTGGGTTTCACTATGTTGGCCAGGGTGCTCTCATAACTCCTGACCTTGTGATCCACCTGCCTCAGCCTCCCAAAGTGCTGGGATTACAGGTGTGAGCCACCGCGCCTGGTCTATGTTAATTTTTTTAAAGTTTTCTACCCAGGCATGGTGGCTCATGCCTGTATTGGAGGCTGAGGCAGGAGGATCGTTTGAGCTCAGGAGTTTGAGACCAGCCTGGACGACATGGGGAATCCCATCTCTATTAAAAAATAATACTAAAAATTAGCTGGGTGTGGTGGCACATGCCTGTAGTCCCAGCTACTCCGGAGGCTGAGATAGGAGGGTCACTTAAGCCCCTGAGATCAAGGCTGCAGTGAGCCAAGATCGTGCTACCACACTCCAGCCTGGGCAACAGAGTGAGGTGCTATCTCAAAAAAAAAAGTTGTCTTCATTTGCTGTCTCCAGTTCTTCAGCCCTCCCTTTTTTCCTCTACACACTCTAATAAGGCTTTTCCATCTCTACACAAAACTTCCCTTGTCAGGGTTCCCAATGACCTATGCACTGCAGAATCCAGTGGTTTGTTCTTCATCCTCACTGCCTTGGCAGCATTCGATGCTTGTTCCCCTTGGCTCCTGAGTCCCTACACTCTCATATTTCTCCTGGCTGTTCCTGCTCAGCCTCTTTGATAGTTCTGCTTCATATCTCCCCTACTTCCACCTTGTGGAATGTTCCAGGGCACAATCTTGGTTGCTGTCCCCCTCTGTCTGCATTCATCTCCCACCCGACCTCATCCAGGCCTATGGCCTTACATATCATCCATTCTCTCCTATGCCTCCCAGATCCAAGGCTCCAGTGCTAATCACTCTCCTGAAGTCTAGAGTCATACGCCGAGCGGCTGACCCTGCAACTACTCTTGGATATCTAACAGGCATCTCAAGGGTTGCATGTCCATAAAAGATCACTGAATCCAGTCTTTCCCAGATGAGTTTATGGCAATTTCATCCAACCAGCTGTTAATGCCAGAAATGTAGGAGTCATGCATGACGCCTCTCTTTTCCTGCCCACATCCATGCATCAGCAAGACTTGATTTTGGCTCCAAAGCATACCCCAAAGTGGCCCCCTTCAATGCACTTGCCCTGCCCCTGCCTAGGCCTTCCCCTTCCTTGCCTGGATGAGGGCAGGGGCCTCCACTCTTACTGCAGAATCCTTATCTGAAAGCAGCTGAAATTATCTAAACAAGGGCTAGCCCAGGTGATTCCTGCTCAAAGGCCCCCGTTGCTCCTCATCACACCAAGAACATAACCCACATTCTGCTATAAAGCCGTTGGTGCCTGGTTTTGCTGACCTTTTCCTTCTTGCCACCACCACCAATCACAAACACCTGGACCTTCTTTATGTACAGTTCCTGTGCCTCGGGATCTTTTCCCTGGCTGCTCCTTCTATCTAGAATGCCCCTCTTCTTGATTGCATCCTGATGTCACCTCCTGAGACTGTCCTTCCCCAGGCTAGCCCGTAGCCCTCATTCCCTGGTATTTTCCTGTTGCTGGTATGTCCAGTCTGTCTGCAGCTACACTACCCTTAAACCTAGCCTGCGATGATAAAGCAGCCTCAGAAGACAGGCTTACCTCTGCACCGACCCTCAGCTTGCACCTGGTACTGGCAGAGGGAATGCCTATGGTGGCGTGTCGCCGCTGGACTCGCGGCTAGCCGAGCACTCCCCACCAGAGGGCAGTCCCGTCTAGCTTGGTTGGGACACGACTGAGGCCCCGCGGATGCGCTGCCACAAAATCCCGCGCTCTCTGAATCCTCAGACGGGACGAACCCCACTTCCATCCCGTCCACGGATTGCTGAGGCCAGCCTCAGGAACGGGTCCCTTGGGTCAGACCCCTAGTGGGCCACAACCTCTCTGGGTCCGACCATCCTTGGCGCTCTGCCTACAGGCGGGCGCAGCACGGCGCCTCGTGGGAGGGACCGCTATTCTACCATAGAACAAATGGGGAGGGTGAGGCCCCCACAATGAGGCGACCTGCCCTGCGTCACGCAGCAAACGCAGGGTCTGCTCAACTGTCTGGGGGATTGAGGGTTCCCGGCCCAACCCCGTCCGACTTCCAACTACGACCCCGCCCTTCCCCCCAAGAGCCGCAGCGGAGTCGGGAGGGATGCAGGGCTTTAGCCCCGCCCCGTTTGGCCGCGGGGCCGGGGCGGGGCGCTGATGCCAGATGTCGGGGCGGCGGCGGCTGGAGCTACGGAGAGCGAGGAGCCGCACGGCCAGGCGGAGGCTGAGGGCGCCGCTGGCTGGCCCGCCCAGCCCTCTCAGCGCCGCTCCGCCGGGGTTCCGAGAGGAGCTGGCAGGCTCGGTGGGGACCTCGGCACGGACATGCACAGCGCTCGGCTTGACAGCTTCCTCAGCCAGCTCCGCTGGGAACTGGTGAGGCTTGGGAGCGGGTGCGGTTCGTGAGGACGCGTGCGGAGTGCTAGACTGCCGCCCGGCCCGAACACCAGACGGGTGCGGGGTGGCTGGTGTGCCAGTCTGAGGCAGGGTGGGGGCGGCGCGGCGCCTATGGCCCAGATGGCCCGTGTCGGGTTTCGGACAGTTGGGAACTGCGCTGGGCATCAGGTAACAGCACCCAGCTGGCCGTGCTGCTGGAACTGCGCGGGAGGAGAGTGTAGAAAGGGTACTTCTTTAGGGACGGGGCATGGGACGGCAAGGGACTCACGAGGTGCTGGTGCTGCTGTGAACGCCCCCTGCTTCAGGCTGATTTGTGCCTCCCTCCTCTGCCCCTCAGCTAGCAAGCGATCTTTCTCTGAAAGATGCTTTGGGGAACTGAATCCCCCGATAGGCATGGGATGCCCCTCCAGTCCTGGGCAAGACCTACTTACCCGTTCAGGCCCACAACCCTGCCTGCCCGCCCGCGCGCGGGCCCTGGTGGCGGGTGCCGACTTGCCCGGCCCTACGTGCTGCAGCCTGCCGGACTGCCACCAGGTTGGTGGATGAGAACCACACCAGCTTCAAGTGCCAGCACCCCCATACCTGCCCTGTGCTCACTAGCACCCTGCTGCCCAGGCCAGCAGGCCTATCCAAGCTTCCTGGACCCTCTCTTCTCTGGGCTGGCCTGGCAGGCAGGCAGGAAGAGGTGACAAGTGATACCTCTCTGACTTCTACCCTCTCTTCCCCTCAGCTGTGTGGCCGGGACACAGGCTCACCCCCAATGCCTGGCTCCCTGCAGCCAACCCCCCAAACTGGCCCAGATGTGCAGCCCAGCCACCAGCTTAGGGCCTCAGGTGCCTTGGAAGAGGACTCAGTCTGCTGTGTGGAGGAGGAAGAGGAGGAAGCAGTGGTGACAGAAGACAGGGGTGCAGCCTTGGGAGGCCCCAGGGAGCATGCCCTGGACTGGGACTCTGGCTTCTCTGAGGTGTCGGGCAGCACATGGCGAGAGGAAGAACTGCCTGTACCCCAGCGCTTAGCACCCTCAGCACAGCCCCTTCGTAGGCAGCGCCTCTCAGTCAGTGGCCTCCCCATGGCTGGCAGAGCCCCAGTAGCCAGTGCACCACCTAGCCGCCGTCCACGGCCCAAGTCCACCCCAGACGCCTGCCTGGAGCACTGGCAGGGACTTGAAGCAGAGGACTGGACAGCAGCCCTACTGAACAGGGGTCGCAGTCGCCAGCCCCTGGTACTGGGGGACAATTGCTTTGCTGACTTGGTGCACAACTGGATGGAGCTGCCTGAGACAGGGAGTGAAGGGGGTGATGGAGGTGGGCCCCGTGCTCGTGCTCGACCCCCTCAGTTCCTGCTTGGCCTTTCTGAGCAGCTTCGTCGCCGGCTGGCCAGGGCTCGGCAGACAGCTATGGCAGGAAAGCGGCTGTCATGCCCACCTCGCCCAGAAACTGAACTGCCTACAGACGTCTCACGTTTTGCAGCCCTCATGAGCTGCCGAAGCCGACAGCCCATCATCTGCAATGATGTCAGCTACCTCTGACCCTGCCCTCCAGCCGGGGACAATAAAAGCCTTTTTTCTAGACTGTCCTGATTCCATACCCCTGAGGCGCTAAGAGGCAGCCCCAGCCCTGTGAGGCACAGCCCAGGCATACGAATCTTCTGAAGAGCTTTTTGTTTCCGTGTGAGGGTCCCTGTCTTGCCCGTGTCACACCCATGTGCATTACTGCATTGTGTACTATCATCCATCCTCTCCACTACGCCTTCCTTCAACAGCATTTATTGAGTGCCTGCTGTGGGCTTACAATGGAGGGCTTGGGATGCAGGGCTCCATCGAGCTAGGTGACGTGGTGGCTGCCTTGTCACAGCTCATAGTGCAGAGGTGGGAAGGCAGTGTCCTCCTCCTCATCCTCACAACTCAGCTGCAGCACCAACACTCGAAGCCCAGGAGCAGGTACCTGGCCTGTCACCCGCTGAACCAGTTCTGTCACCCTGGTGGGGGTGGGGTTTAGGGAAGATTGGAGAGGTGAGCAATGGAAAGCAGAGGGCAGCCTGGCATGGACTAGGGAGGGTGCTGGCGGGCCGTCAGGAGCCCAAGCCAGGAGCAGGAGCTGCTCAAGACAGGAAACATCTGAAACTATTTTAGGAGCAGCTGGTGAGGCAACCAGGAGGCAGGAAGCTGTGGGTCCCTTGGGAGTGGGCTGTGAAGGGGGCTGTACAGCATGTGGGGAGCCTGTGGGGCTGGCCAAATAGGCAGCTCCTGAAAGCTCCTCCTCAGGCTCTCAGCCCTCACCCCACCCCCAGCCCATTTGCTGGCTCCATTTGGTAAAAGAATGCTTGGGGAAGTGTGAGGGGCCCAGAATGGGGCTGGGAAGACGAAAGGCTGTGTGGCCCCTAGCCCCAGCCTCCAGGGACTGGTGGGGCCTGTCTAAAGCCCCGAGTGGGCTCACCTGAGGGGCAGGCACTGGGCCTGCTTTTCAGGCGACCATCTGGCTGAATAGAGCAGGGCTGGGTGGTGCAGCAGCATCCTCACCCTCAAACCGTGCTGCTCCTAGAGGGAGAAAGGTCAGAAACCAACTGGGCCAGGCTGGGCTGAGCCTAGGGGGTGGAGTGGGGACAGGGCACACCTGAAGATGAGCCAGCAGCGACTCCAGGGTCCTCTCAGGCTGCCCAGCCGGTACCTTCAGACGGTCCCAACAGGTCCACTTCAGGTGATGGAACTGGGGTGAGGTAGGGCAGTAGTGAGAGACTTCTTACCTCCCCCCCACCCCCATCCCTGTTACCAGCAGCCTTTCCTAGGGGAAGAGTTAGACTAGCAGGAAGCCAGGAGCCAGAGGGTTGGGGGAGAGGTGGGATCTGGGCCCAGAGTCTCAGCCCCCTCCCTGCCCAGGCTGGGGCCAGCACAGGAAATGGGGCTATGGGGCCCGCACAGGGAAACAGACAATCCATCACAGGGGCCGGTCATGAGGGTGGAGGATGAGGGGGTGGTGCTTCCTGAGGAAACCCAGAGCAGGGCCTCTGCAGCCTCTGATAAAGCTGCTTGTTCCTCAAAGACAAGGCTGGGAGCTGGGGGGCACATCCTGTCCCCCCATCTTGTACTGCCAGGGCCTTGGGCTACTCATCGGGACACAGGGGCAAAGGGCATAGTGATCACCAGGACTCCACTGTCCCAGAGACCCCAGCAGGGATACAGGGCATAAAGCCTTCTTCTTCCTGTCCCCTTTCCTTCCAGGAGTCTTGGGGTTCTGGTACCTAGAGCTGAGGACAGAAGGGTGGCTGGCAGGTATCTAAAGACCAGGATCAGGGGGCCCTACCAGCCCCCGAGAAAACACACTGAGGTCAAGCTGAGACTAGGCTAGAGGTGAGACAGGGGGCTTCTCATTCACCCGCTCCAATCCGTGGACAAAGACAGCTTGTATACTGGTTAGAGGCAGGGCGCCTCACAAAGGGGCTCTGTGCGCTATGTCCAGAGGGACCCCAGGCTGCTCTGCAGAAGCCCAGTGCTGGCCCATGACCTCTGCTCTCTCCCTTGTGAGGGCATTCCTTCTACCCTTGTCCTGTGCCCCAAGGAAATGCCAACTGCAGAGCCTAGGAACATGGCTGGAGACATTTACAGCCCTGCAGTCACAGAAACACATGCCCACAAGCCCAGGAACACACACATGCATACCCACATGCATATCCACACATGCCACATTGAGGACACAGGAAGATGGGAGCCCTGCACTCCCATCTGGCATACAGATGTGCAAGCTTGCTTCTTCCATGCCCACACACCAGGGATGCCCAGACCCCAGTTGCACTCACACCTGTGACACAAATACACTCAGGGTTGCAGACGCCACACCTCTAGTGCCAAGCCTGTTACCCTTTAATTCAGCTTGCAGGAGGTAGGCCAGGGCCCCCGTGGCATGCAGGGGAAAGCTAGACCCTTTCTGAGGCTGAGGCCCTGGTCCCCTCCCTACCACCTACCCCTCAGGGGTACTCCAGAGAAGGAGGGGACTGTGGGGGATGTCTGGCTCCACTAATGAGTTAAAGCTGCGGCTCCCCCAGATCCTGGGCTTTGGAGGATTGCGGGTGGGGATGGCTGATGGTTGCTTCCTGTGTCTGACAGGTCTCAGCCTGGCTTCATAGCAGGAAGAGGGCTGGAGGGAGTCTTGAGGACTCCTGCACAGTCTGAGTCTCAATGAGAGCCAGCAGCTAGATTGGGGCCTGTGTGGGCAGGTGCAGGGGAAACCCAGTCCTAGTGGGGCTAAGGGTGGGGTATCATGGGCTTACCGTCTGGATGGCTGGGGCAAAAGGCATATAGCGGATGAGGTAGTTTTCAGCCAGATGTAGGTAGCTATGGCGAAAGGCACTACGAGGTCGTGGCCCACCCACCACCTTATACAGTTCCAGGATCACTAGGCCTGCCACAGCTGCTGTAGTGGTGGCAATGGCTGGGATAATCTGGCCCACGATTAGCTTGCTCTGCCAAGGACAAGAGATTTGGTCTGGGCCCAAGGCATAGGGCCAGGGTTTGGCCCCCACCTCCAGGCCTGAGCCTCAAAGGGTAGGGTTACCTGGGCACGGTTGACTGGTGGAATCCCATAGTTCTGACATCGCAGGCTAGCTGCCGCTGCCACGAAGTCCACATGGAAGTTGCTGTCATCATCCTGTAAGGCCCAAGTCAAAGTAGTGTTAATATTGCAGCTGTGCCCCTCACCATGGCCAACTGTGTGCCACTGCACAGGTCTCCACACAATTCTGGGGGGTGCCCTCCATCCCCCCTTGATCAGACAGGCTGAGGTTCAGGGAAGGTGAGCTGCTTCCAGGGCATTGCTGGGAGAACTCAGGCCAAGGGGCTCCAAAACTACCTTCTTGGCTCCTGACCTTTCTCCACAAACTCCCCAGCCCAACTCCTCACTGCCACTTGGGCTCCTACCTTCTCAAACATCAGAGGCTTCAAGGGAGGGCCCACGCTCCAGACTTCCAAGGCTTTGTTCAGTTCCTTCAACTGCTCAGGGCCTGTCAGGGGAGGGGATGTTGGGACAGTTCTTAGCCCCTGTGTCCTGCACTCTTCTTGGAACCCTGTGCCTATTCTTGGTCTCTGCCAAGGCTGTCACTTATTATTCCCTCATCAAATCAAGAAGCCCCCTTAATTAATGCTATAGTCTTCTCTCTAAAAGTCCCAGTCTTGGCCAGGCGCGGTGGCTCAAGTCTGTAATCCCAGCACTTTGGGAGGCCGAGGCAGGTAGATCACGAGGTCAAGAGATCGAGACCATCCTGGTCAACATGATGAAACCCCGTCTCTACTAAAAATACAAAAAATTAGCTGGGCGTGGTGGCATGTGCCTGTAATCCCAGCTACTCAGGAGGCTGAGGCAGGAAAATTGCCTGAACCCAGGAGGCGGAGGTTGCAGTGAGCTGAGATCGCGCCATTGCACTCCAGCCTGGGTAACAAGAGCGAAACTCCGTCTCAAAAAAAAAAAAAAAAAGTCCCAGTCTTCACCTGTGTGTGCACGCACCTCTGTGAGTCTGTCCTCACCTGCGGGCCATAGCTAGGCACTCCCCAGGAGCCAGTGGATTTTATTTATTTATTTATTTAGCCAAGAATCTGCCACAAGAACTGGGATGTGGGGTAGGCAGCAGGAAGAAGACCTACTGAAAGGCCAGAGGATAAGCCTAAACCTACGGAGGAGTGAGATGGGAGGCCTGAGAGACAGTGAATTGGCTGTAGGTCCTCTAGGCCCTATCTTCCTTCTGCAGCACAGGCTGAGGACTGGACAGGTTCAAGCCCTTGAATGACAGCATGAGGGACCAGGGCCAGGAGCCTTACCAAACTCAGCAGAAGCCGAAGCCAGCTCTGGGTTACTAGGAAAGATGGGGACCATTTGTTGGGGGTCAGGCTGTGGCAGCAACTTCAGCAGCTCCCTGAGTGCAGTCCAGTCCCGTGAGTCAGGCAGCCCATGCATCTGGGCATACAGGTTAGCAGCTGCCAGTATGTAGAGGAGGTGAGTGTCCTGCAGCCAGACCAAGAGCAGGAGCACAGGCATGGGTGCGAGTAAGCGTGTATGAGTGCATGGGGTGGGGGTCACTGTCCATTTGTGGATCTATTTGAGTGCCTGCCTTTGCCTCACATGTAGACACCCACATGTATACAAGCATGGCTCTCTCTGGCCAGCTATGCATCTCTGCAGAATGCAGAAGCGCCTACCTCTGCTCTGAGGGGCCACATCTCTATCTTGGAACTCCCTAGGGAATCCCACTCACTTGGTTAGTGTCAAACTCCAAGGGCTGGGGACATCGTTTTGGATCCGACCAGAAGGGAGTTCCATCTTCAAGCACCTAGGTAAGTAGAGTCTGCTGGGTTCAGTCTGGTCTCCCTGAGCCCCAAGCCTCCTGACCCCTAGCCACACACTTTATTAGGTGGGAGGTGCCTCAGCAGCTGTTTGATGCCATAATGGAAGCAGAGTTCCCAGTGGCCAAGAGCCCATGCCACACAGTCTTGCCAGTTCTGTGGACGCTCTCTCAGGACGCCAAACACTGACTTCAGTAAGGTCAGTGTCTGTGCCCCATCCATGTCTGTCAGGGAACTGTGTGCCCT